CGCGCTACCGCGATGCCAGCGCTATCTGGACGCTCACCAGATGGTACTGATATCTCACTATGAAATTCTGCGTAAAGCCTATCACACACAAATTGGTCTTTTAGAGAATGTCTATACTATTTAAATACGTATTATTGCTAAATTATATAAAAATAATTTATATTCTTTATATTAGTACATTCTCAGTATTTCTTTATAAAATATACATATTGTATAAGTTGACAATATTAATATATTTATAAATATAATGGAAAAAAATAAAAAAATACGTTTATGTAAACATATATAGATATTTATATATTTTATATTCATAACTATATATTTTAATGACAAAACTGTACTATATTTTATATTTATAAGTTTATATTTTATAATGACAGACCTGCACATCAGATTCATAGCGCAATATAAATAGCCCCAATCGGTGTAATTACTGTTGTCTCGTCACATCCTTCGACAATTAATTGCATATCATCACATTTCAGCCATCGCCCTGAAGGTTTTTGACAGTAGTCAATAAAATGACCAGGAATGTGTTCGATGACACCTATCAAGCTGAAAATATCAAACAGATTTTCATATGTTTAATAAGCAAATAAAACGATACATAATAAACGATATCTATGTATATTACTAAACATATCAGTACTGTTTTCCAAAATTCAGTGTAACTGGAACATCTGCTAACTGGCATTTGACGCCATGTGTTTTCTTGCGATGTGTCCTCGTATCCAAATCAATAAAGATGTGGAAATGTGAACGAATCGTTTCAATGACTGTTTCTGGGCTATTTTTTTGTTGGCATTTAACATTATAATAATGTCCATTGAATAAGACGGCATCTTGCAATGCTTGAATACCTTTGGTATTGATCGTTCTGATATTTACTTCAAAATATATGCAACATTCGTTGGTAATAACGTTATACATTCCGGATTATTACATTCAGATGATCTAATTGCACTTGGCTCACAAGGGAAGGTAGGCAATCCGGAAATTCAGAAAATTCTGAAACTTTGTGTGCAAGTAGAGTAGTTCATCCGTAACACAAAACTATTTTTTGTTTGTGCAAAATTAAGGTTTGAGGGGGTGAATCACCGCTTGAAAAAAATGTAGACTTTTTTTTGCGAAATAACTGCCGAACGGTGAGAGATATCGAAAAAAAGTTTAAAGTTAAAAGTTGCATCTTTTTTTTATGTCTACAAAGCTGCGTATAGATAAGTATTAAAAAATTCATATTTTTCGAGTTACCCCACCACCAATCCTTAAAATTGAGTTTTTGTAGTTTGTAAATTTATGCAAAAATACTTTTTCATAACCTTTTTCCATACATCATAATAAGTTCTATTTAATTATTGTTCTATTATAGTTCTATTTAACGGTTGTTCTATTAAAAAAAAAAAAAAAAGTCGAATTTTTAAGTCTGTTTTAGCAGTTTTAATTATTAAAATCGTTTTATAAAACGATATTTAAATTATTATTATATTAATATAAATTTCAGACAACTTTTAATTATTTAAGCAAGTCAATATGTACTTACAACTACATGAAAAATATAACTAATTAAAACCAATCAGTGACGTATATGAATCATAATAATAGCAACATACATTACTTGAGATGTTATTTTATTACACAATTTTGCAAACTGCACGATAAATAAAATATTGCATGAAATTCTATTTTAACATTAAATGACACAGAATCACATTGATGCGCCGATAACCTTGTCGAACTTTCTGATTTACGTAATGCGGACGAGTTTATTTTGTAAACCGCACGAAAAATAAAATAAGGATAGTGTTTTGTGGGGCATAGATTGGACTGCTATTGCAAAGGAATAAAATGGTGATAAGTTTATGTCAAACAAAACAACAAATGTACAATTACAATTGTAATATTTCATGGAAGTTGCGAAATGTTTCTGCAATGTTACTGCAAGCCTGCGGCAACATTGAAATGTCCGTCCTTAGAAATATTACAATGTAAGATTATAGTAATGTTACGGTACAATGTATTTGTAATATTGAAATGCGTTGTTACTTTATGCGGGCACTAGGATCCATTATTTGAGCGAGCAGTTCGTCTCGTGTATTCACTTTTCTTCTGTACACTTCACTGTACACGTTCACGGATGAAGGTTGAAGTGTACAGAAGAAAAGTGAATACACGAGACGAACTGCTCGCTCAAATAATGGATCCTAGTGCCCGCATAAAGGAACATCATGATGTACTCAGACGAGCAACACGCCATGTTCACACAACAGTTGAAAAATGCATTGATGTTAACGGTGGAAATTTATTATAATCTGTAAAAAATGTATCACTTGAACAATAAATATTAGAAATAGTACGTAGTATTTCTTTCTTGTCAGTAATTTTGCAACTGTACATTCAAGTCGCTCTATCTCGGAAACCGTGGGTAATAGGACATATATTCATATGAACATTTTTGCTTAAAATGACCGATACGATCACTTCCCAGGATATTGACCTTTCCTCCTGTAACACCCTGTATAAAGACATCCAAGAGAGATAAGAAAAAAGATTGTGAATTTACGCAATTACACCGAGTTTTTTCTCGTCTCTTTTGGATGTCTTCATATATATTCAAAGTTTATCTATTTAAATCTGAAGTATCTTACATATTAAAAAATTATTATCAACTTTTTGATTTTATATAGGAATGGAAACTATTAAATAATTTTTTGTTATCTAATTAACATCACTTTTATAAATAATTTACGTTTAAGAGATTGATAATGATTAAATAATTTAATTCATAAAAGTTAAAATTTTAGTTATATGTATAGATATTAGATTCTATTTTACATCTTAAGTAGACAATAAACGGATAATTTTAACTTTTTCGGACATTTATTTGTTCGATTTCTGAATAATCAGTTTAATATCTGAATTCCCTGTGTTGGGATCGTATCAGATAAATTAAACTGATAAAAATAGTTATATCTTTAATCTTACTAGCCGCTCTTTGCAAGCTTTATATAATCATCATGACTGAAACTTAAATGCGGGATAGATATAACGCAACACGCGCCGCATAGCATTAAACGAACGAACTAACGATTACCGAAAACTGTTTTTTGTAATGCTTTTGGAATGTTGCTGTAATATTCTCATGAAATATTATAATTATATGTTCCAATAATATTTCACCAATATTACATTGCAACTTGCAAGATTGTAACAATATTGCAATATAATTCCAATGTTCTGTGCTGTATGGGAATTTTTCTCAGGATCTATACAGCACAAAACATTGCAACATTGCAACATTGCGGCAATGTTCAATGTTGCAAATTGCAAATTGGGGAAACCCGGATCTTCGCTTTATATAATTCTCATGAAAATTCTAATTAAATTTCAAATACGAGATGGAATCATCGCGTGTCGCTTAGCGGTAAACAAACGAACTAGCGGCTGAATACTGTTTTTTTATAAAGTATTTGGAATGTTGCAGTAATATTTTTCATGAAATATTACAGTGACATATTCCTGTAATGTCTCTATAATATTATATTGCAACATTATAACATTACTGCAATGTAATTATAATGTCTGTGCTGTATGGGTTTCGATGTATCCTTCAGGAACTACGCGTCCCTGTTCGAATCACCTATGAGATAGGCAATCGGTCGCATACCAGCATTATGCATAACGTCTGACAATACTAGTCCACGTTCTTTAAATTAAATAAAAAACAAGTAGAGTTGTGCAAATCAGAAACTTGTATATTGCTTCCTCATCATTTTATCTTACAAAGCTTAAGCTGCTTTAAGCATGCGTAATAATACTCTATTCATGTAAAGAAATTTAATTCGATATCTCAAATTTTCCGAAAATTATAGCGTGTACAGACATCTCTCAAAAAATTCAAAATTTTATAAAAAATAAACTCTTTCACCGATACTCACAAAATTCAGTAGCAACCATTCTTTAATAATACTTTACCCTTGTAAAAAAATTTAACCTGATATCTCAAAATTTGCGAAAGTTACAATGTATACAGATACAATATATTGCGTACATACATACATACACACATACACACATATGATACATACACACATACACACATATATACAGACATTTTTTAGGAATATGATTTTTCGACGTTTTGGAACATTCTAAACACATTGGCATAGAAAACTCGAAAAAAAATTTTGTCACGAAAACAAAGCTTCCTCTATGAGGAAGCAAAAGACAACCAAAAATAAAAATGGAATCAAAGAACAAATGGATTAATACTATCAGACGTCACGCGCAATGCTGTCATGCGACCGATTGCTTACCTCATAGGCAGTCCGAATAGAAACGTGTCCCATACAACACAGAACATTACAGCAACATTACCGTAATATTGCAATGTTGCAGCAATGTTACTACAATGTTCTGTGCTATATGGGTAAGGGCGCATCGAAGGACAGCGAGCTTTTTGATAAAAAATGATTCTCTTGATGTGACCTATGAAGTTTGTTCTACGTGTCCTGAAACACTTTACATGTTATAGCAACAATGGCGATATATGCTCGAGTTCCGCTTTCAAAAAAAAATCTCTCAGAGACATTGCCAGGCACTGTGCTCCGTCGCCGTTTGCACAGTACGGTGGAAAAATACAGGAGGAGGTGGATGCGCCGCAGAGCAACATTACCATTACGCGGCGGTCAAGGGAATGAAAATATGGCTTCGCTGTATTGCGCAGAACATCGGCGCCTTAGCGTCGCGACGACCCTTGCGGGGTGAGTCGTTGCTTGGTGCCCGCGCCTTTTTGCTGTGCTACGTGGCACAATCGCACGGAGTACACACGACAATGCGATCATATTGTGAGAACGCGATCGTTATCCCTACTGTCTAGATTCAACCCCTTTTTCGGGTTGGCGTAGACCAATTAAATATAGAAGAAAAAAGAAAACAAGAAGAAGAAAAAAAGAAGAAGAAATCATCTGAATTGTTCGATCTACGAATCGCGCTATCTTTGATAATCAAGGAAAAGTCCAACGCGTCGACAGCGAGCTTCTTTAAACGACAACAAAGGATCGCTAGATTGTAAAAACGTGGGGAGATCCACACGGGCAAGACGGGGAAAGAGAGCTACGGGTAAGGTCAGGTTCCGCGGCAGCGACTATGCGCGTGATCGATCGCGCGCATCTCCACGATCGGCTGGAGATGTGATACCGGAAGTAGGCCAGGCAGAATTGACCTGCGTGGACGTATAAGTACGGCATACAGGGTGCGTGCGTGCGTACGAGTACGACGTGTAAGCTGTAGGTGTGCCGCGTGGGTCCAGGAACCAGCAGTTGTAGAGATGCGCGTCGCCGCGACGGCCTCTCTGTCGCCGATGTGTTCATCGTCGAGGGCTACTCTTTGGTACAATGCTACCATTGTGCGACTGCTCTGTGTTATTCTGGTCTCTTGCTGGATTATTCTTGATCAACCGGCCTTGGGCCTGCCGAATCCGGAGTTGACAACAATGGAAGGTAAGATAACTTCGGCGTTGCATGATGCTCAGGATTTTATGTGTATCATCCTTTTTGGAATTGCATTACGAGAGAAATATCATATTTCTCACATCTTTAAAATAACAAGCGTGCGAAAAAAAACCATTCGCAATGTTTTAATTGAAATTAAACGCTATGAATACCTATTGTATCTACTTTTGTAGTCATTTATCTTTTGCATTGATGATTTTTATTTAATAATTTTACACATGGTTATATATATATATAATGAAAAGCATATGCAAATCTTGTAAGTCAAAATGTTTTAGAGATAAAGAAAAAGTTTTCTCTTTTTATTGACATTTACATATAACTTAAAGATCAAAGGGGTTTGTTTTATATTAACTTTCCATATTTAGCATACAATGTGTCTATACAACTTTCGATCTATAATGTCATCAAATACACTCTTGAAGTTAAATAAAGCCCACTCAAGATTATAAACAGCGTTAAAAGATTAAAAAGTTTAAAAGATGACTGAAAAAATTTAAACAATTTCTAAAAGATTAAGGAATCTTTCAGGTATTTTTTAGACTTTTTTGTTGTTTTGAATGAAAACATAAAACAAATTTCATTAAGATCATAGTGACGATATTGCACATAGAAGATACGTGTAAGCTACATTACATAAATAGTATCACTTTACATAGCAGTATACATTACATAAGTAGATATCGTGCATAATTCTCTTGTAATAAATAATATAAAATAAACTGAAGTTTTTAAAACTTTATTAATTTATTTTCTATAAAACTTCAATAGCTATTATAATTTGACAAATTGATAATATGCAATTATTAAAATGCTTATAAGGAAGTTACTTTACAGATTAGATAAAATCATCCTTTGTGAGAAATATGCGATTGGTTGATATATAATTTCCTTATGTTTTCCTATATTGCGTGCAATCATATATATGATGACGCATGCGCCACGCGAAGGACATTATATCACATGTCAAATTAAAGTGCAAGTAAACATCCCTTGTGAATTCAAGCATCGAATGATGCAGTATTAATGCATAAGAGGTCATCATATATATTTGTTATCAAAACTAAGTGCTACGTTTGTCAATACTTTAATGTCACAACAAACATTACATCCAGCATACAATGAAATATCGATAAAAACGGAAAACATGGATCAATGCTGATAAAGATAAAAACAGATGTCTAAAAACAATTTGTGATTAAATAATATTTTTAAAAGTTATGAAGTTGTATGTTTTTCTGTCTCGATATTTACGAATAAAAAGTATTGATTGCGGTAGCAAGTAAATACACTTGTCGCTCGGCTTATGCAATACCTTTTTTGCGTGATCTCAATTTTCACCCTCCTCCCCCCTCTTTCTCCCCCCTCTCTCAAAAGCTTTCCAAAATAAAAATTATCTTATTAATTTGTCTGAATAATTGCACACATAGCACATAATGTTACAGAAATGTTTTAGCAATTTTGTAATATACTAGGAGTATTATGTATTACAGTCAAATATTACAAAAATATTACTGATATATTACACGTTTATAATAACATTGAAATATTACAGTTACATTGTTGCAATATATCACATACTAAATAGCAAGGTGACGTCAAATGATGTTTTAATTTTGTCTTATCGACATTAGAGACGTCGTTAAAACATTATTAACAATAAGACATCATTTGGCGCCACCTTGCTACTAAGGATGTTATACATCAGATTAGAGTATAAATAAAATATTTCAGAGATAATATATTTGTTTTGTAATGTTACGAATATATTTTTTTATTATTATTACTCAAACGTATACATTAAGTAGTATACATTAAGTATACTTTTAAGTAATATTAATGAGAAATATATTCGTAACATTATAAAATCATCATACACACATACATATATTAAGGAGGGAAACCAGTGTAACGGCTAAAAAATCGACTAAAAAAGTATTTTCTTAGAATATGAGACAATAGCTTTAGTTGCACATATGGAATTTTCGATTGAATAATTTTTTTTTTTTTTTTGTAATATTGAAAAACAGTGGTCAATGTCTCATCGATTCTGAAACTTTTTTTCTTTAAAAGTCCGCCATTTTGTATTAAATTTTTTTTTCTTGAATCCGTGTAACTGAAGCTATTGTTTTATATTTTAAGAAATTTTTTTTTTCCAGGGCTTCCATTGCCCCGCTATACGCATGCGCCCGTTTTTTTTTTTTTTTTTTAAGGCAGCTTACACTATTGGCTATTGCAGCTATAAATATTAATATTTTTTAACGAAAATTTCACAAAATGTAGTTTAAATTATGTACTTTATGATGTTAATAACGTGATCTGAAAAAAAAAACACAATTATTTATCAGAAAAAAAACCTTAAAAATAGCCTTTTTTTAGCCGTTACACAGGTTTCCCCCCTTAAATTTCACGAAACAAAATGTTATTAAAGTTAATTTATTATGCATATGGTTCTTGGAAAAATACAATTGTATGTAATATTGGCACAAAATAATAAATTTATCTTGCTACGGAATTTTATAAGCTTTTGCGCATATGTTTTGATAGAGCCATGATTCTATATATCTGTTTTGTTTACCTATGACTATTCCAAGATGTTGTGATTTGCATGGTGTATAATAATGAACAAATTTGTATCAGGTATCAATTTTTTTCCTATAATGTATAAATTATTATTTTGACTTTTAGCGATATTGAGATCTCAAATGATAGTATTATCCTTTAGTACAATGTAGTTATTTTTGTTATCGTCACAATTTAAAAAAACAAATCTAAATGTAATATTTTATACTCTTTTTTTTATAATCACGTTCATGATTCAATGAATCATTTTACTGAAGAAATTTTTTGTTACGTGTTCCATTAGAGCGGCTGATACAAAAATTTAACTCATAAAGTCTTAATGATTATTATTACAATAATAAAGAGTTATTAGAAGAGTATCACTGCAATATGTTTGTTATAAAACGATATTAACAACGAAAGTAACATTTCAACAAGATAATCTTTATCGTATTAACATAATATTTTATATCATAACAATTCCTCGAGAAATTATACAATATAATTACAATTTATTTGTAATATAAAAATATTAAAATGATCTAATTCCTCGCAATATTACATAAATATTACAGTACTACAATTGTGATATGTCACCATTATATTATTGCAATTCATTTTGGTGGACATTTTAATATTATTGTGATATCTCTGTAATATTCTAGCAATATTCATGCTATATTTCATTGTAATCTTGCTATGGAAAAATGATATTGTTGTGATATTGCTGTTATATTATGTGCTATAATATATAAGATATTTCTAACCATCCGTACAGGCCTTTTAAGAAAAAGGGAAGTGAATTTTATCAAAAATCGCAAAAATTTCGATGACTAAATCCTGTACGCTATATTGTATTATATGATGATATTTTCAACTTTTGGTGCCGATTGGAAATGGACTATCCAGACTAAAAGTCAAATTTTTTAAATGGAACATGGCACTTTTTATCATAGATTCAGATCCCCCGGCAAAAAATAAGAAATTTTTATCACAAACATTTTTTTCTAAAATGCCTCTATCGACTTCGACATAATTTTTAAAGTGTGATTTACGAAGAGGATGTAGTTAGATAGGAACTGGGCTCTCCAGATCTAAAGACAAATTTTTTTAATGGAACATGGCACTTTTTATTGCAAATTTGGATTATACATAAACATAAACAATTTTTTTACATTTATTTACATAAATGAATAAATAATTTTAATAAATTTGTTATTATTTTAATAACATGGTTACAAAATGATAAAAAAGAAATTGTAATATGGTTAATAAACTTTATTAACATAAAGGATTAAACATTTATTAATAATCTGGAAATAATCTTGAAAGTGTGATGAAAAAATAAACTTTAACTGCATTCCTAGACGAGTTAGCGTGTATCATTTCAATGTTCATCATTTTAGAAAAAAGTATTTGGGACAAAAGTTTTTTATTTTTTGCTAGGGAATCCGAATCTGCAATAAAAAGTGCGGTAATTATTCAGAATCACGGCTCCACCTGCAAATGGGCTGCAAATTTTTTTACGGGCTTTTCATGTTTAGGAAGAAATATAAATAACCATTTTTAGTTGGGGGAGGCCCAAAAAAAAGTTATAGACCAAAAAAGGGTAATTATTTCGAATAAGGTCTTTTCTGAATTTTGACAAATATGATCGGATGTCTCGGTAAAACTTTTTGTTGTGACTCCAACAGTGATAATCAGTCGAGGGAGCCCGTCCCCCATCACTCCCACCCCCCAAAAAACGAAAAACCCAAAATTACCGAAAATTATAATTACCCTTTTTTGGTCTATAACTTTTTTTTTGGGCCTCCCCCAACTAAAAATGGTTATTTATATTTCTTTCTAAACATAAAAAGTCTGTAAAAAATTTGCAGCCCGGTTGCAGGTGGAGCCGTGATTCTGAATAATTACCAATTAGTCATCGAAATTTTTGCGATTTTTGATAAAATGCACTTCCCTTTTTCTTAAAGGACCTGTACGGGTGGTTAGGGATACCCTGACGTGAGAAGAAGATAATCTGTCTAAATCTTTATCTCAATATTTACAGAAAGTGTTCCACATGTCTTCCTTCTATTTTCATACATGCTTGGCATCTTCTTCTTGCGAATCGTAAAGATCCGCAATCGCCGGTTGATGACAACTGACTGATTACCGGTGAAATCTTCCGTTATGAAGTATGTATGGAAATTGAATGAGAACATTCAGAACGCGGTTTATAAACACTGAGGTAAACATCGCATGCGACACGTAGAAGCCAGTAAATCAATCATGATGCTAACATACAAAAATGTTTATATTTCAAAAACGGTTGAACTATCGACTTATGTTTGCTAAGGTTTTTTTACTCAGTATGGTATCTACTATCTACCATTTAAATATTGAATAGTTTTTTTGAACACTCTGTATAAGTGACATCTCACCAA